CACTATGGTACGTGAATATGGACATGCTCGATGTCAATTTCCAAAAAAGTTGATAAAGAAAATAGATTTTTAGACTGAGAGCATTCATTTTTCTCCAGTCCAGCACTAAACTGTTTTGGGAAACCTTGTGTTTTAAGGACTTCCTTATTGTCCAGATAACTGAATGTTTGGAAAATGATTGATGCTGACTGAATAAGATTTGACGTTTTGGATACCTTCATTATGAAGTTTCATTCCTCAATTATTTGCAAGTCGTTAAATCAACGCCAAAGTAGATCAACATATTTCACAGCACTCAATGTTTTTTTACTCCGAATCAGTGACCAGTTTTTGTTCTATGCATATCTATATAATTTCTTAGATAGAAAATATGTTGAATTAAAGAATAATGAACCCAAAATAAAGTTAGCAATATCTTTGAAACTTCTCTCAAAACAAAACAAAACAAAACAAAACAACAAATAAATAAAATAAAACAACAAATAAAACAAAACAAAACAACAACAAAACTAAACAAAACAACAAATAAAACAAAACAAAACAAAACAACAAATAAAACAAAACAAAACAACAAATAAAACAAAACAAAACAAAACAAAATAAAATAAAATAAAATTAAATTAAATTAAATTAAATTAAATTAAATTAAATTAAATTAAATTAAATTAAATTAAATTAAATTAAATTAAATTAAATAAAACAACAAATAAAACAAAACAAAACAACAAAAAAACTAAACAAAACAACAAATAAAACAAAACAAAACAAAACAAAATAAAATAAAGTAAAATAAAATAAAATAAAATAAAATAAAATAAAACAAATCAACAAATAAAACAAAACAACAACAACAACAACAAAACTAAACAAAACAACAAATAAAACAAAACAAAATAAAACAACAATCAAAACAGCACAAAATAAAATAAAGTAAAGTAAAAAAATAAAATAAAATAAAAAATTAAAAAATAAAAAAAAAATAAAAAAAATAAAAATTAGATAAAAAAAACCTCTTAGCTGTTGGATGATGGTCTTTTCCTTAAGTTAAGCGTAAAAATGAAGAAAAATGTTGATGTACTTTTGCGTTAATTTAACATTTTGCAGATAATTGAGGAATGAAACTTCATAATGATGGTATCCAAAAAGTGACAAACCACAAGCTTCACATGTTTATATCAGTGTTATATCTCCTAAATGTGAATTGTGGCTAATAGATCTCCTAAAATCTAAATACTTATTCTAACATCTTTATTTTAATTTCATGGGACTTTTAAGAGCGCATATCTCGCTGTCTCGTATTTGATGAAAAAATAAAATAAATAAAAATAAAATAAAATAAAATAAAATAAAACAACAAATTAAAAAAAAAAAAAAACTCTTAGCTGTTGGATGATTGATGAGTTTGTGACTCATTTTGGGCGCCGTCGTTTGTCCGTCTGCAGCCGCTCCGTGAGTCTCCGCGTCTCTGCCAGCGTCTCTGCCAATCAGCACAGCCATATCGCTCACCTCACTGCTGGAGGCGGAGCTATCTCTGTGAGCACAGGTAACACTGCAAAATCAAAGCATTGCTCCGAGAATGACCTTCCAGGAGACGCCAGAGAGCAGGAGAATAGAGCGAGGGCCCGTGTGGAGCCAACGGGGCCGTAAAGAGGAAGTAGTGCTGCCAGTGCAGGTTTCGCCATATGCCGTGGCTCGCAGGAGTGCGTGCTCACCGCGGAGATCACAGCTGTTCGGGACTACACCGCACGCCAGCTAAATCCGCATCTAATGCATGAGCAGCTCTGAATGACCCGGGTTAGCGCATGTGAGATGCTTAAAGGGGTCATATCTTACATTTTTAACCAAAGTCTTTCCCTCAGGAGCACTTGGTGAACTTTTTGTGGCAAAAAAAAAAAAGATTTTTGCTTTTGTCATCAGTTTTTTTTTAATCCTCAGTCTACCCTGGGAATGAAATGAGTTCTTTTTATTGCAATAATATGGTAATTCTCGCTATAACAACGCACAGGCTGACTTTATGGAGGATTTCACTCATTTCAGAATAAAAAATATGCACTTAAGAGTCTAAGAGCATTGACTGCATGATGAAGACTGCTGATGAAGGTCAATATCACACTAGCATGTGTGTCGTTTTCTGGAATATCAGCACAAGTGTAATCGCAGACGTTGACTTTATACAACAGTTCAACAAACAGGTTTATAGTGTGTGGGCTACATTTTAGGTGGCATTGTATTTTCTTCGGTTTCTCTGATTAATATACTTTTACATATATGTGTCTCAGGGCAACACTTCCTGAATGAATTGAGCCAATAATACGTTCATAAAGACGGTCACCTGCTTTGTTCCTAAAAGAATCAGATGCTACAAATGAATCATTTGAATGAATGATTCAGTGAATCTTGAAGGACTTGATTCAATTATCAGCGATACACCTAAATCCCCTTAGATCAGCCCAAAAAACTCACACAATAATTTTTTTGTGAAATATTATCATCATAATTGCATTAATGTAGCAAACTTTATGGGTAGTGCTGTCGCCTCACAGCAAGAAGGTTGCTGGTTCGAGCCTCGGCTAGGTCAGTTGGCATTTTGTGTGGAGTTTGCCTGTTCTCCCTGCATTCGGGACAGGTGAATTGGGTAAGCTAAATTGGTTGTAGTGTATGCGTGTGAATGAAAATGTATGGGTGTTTCCCAGTGATGGTGGTTCATTTCGCTGTGGTGACCTATGATTAGTAAAGGGACTAAGTCGAAAAGAAAATGAATGAATGAATAGTATTATATGTTATTTTACTCAAAGCAGCGATCGCAGTCTTTTTGTTAAACAATTTCATGAGATCAATTTGACTAGCCTAATAATTTGATTCGAAAGAGGCTTGATTACAGGATTTAATTACTCGAAAATATTTGTTTAATGGATTTTTATAAAAACAGCATGTTAAAACTAGATACTTAAAGTTTGAGGACAAACTTTTAGGCTGGCTTGTGAAAGCCTGATGGTAATAGTTTATTTAGTTTAAACAGTTTTAAAAAGTATGAAAAGATAATAGATAGATAGATAGATAGATGATAGATAGATAGATAGATAGATAGATAGATAGATAGATAGATAGATAGATAGATAGATAGATAGATAGATAGATAGATAGATAGATAGATAGATAGATAGATAGATAGATGGTGTGCTAGCATGAGTTAAACAAGCCAACCCCCACGTCTCTAAGATGTTCTGATACTAAGATATAGCTGCTGTTAAATCGTTGCTAGGTTAGTCTGTTTTGTTGCTATGGAGTTGATTGGCAGTTTAGACTGAGGATGTATCAACGCTTCTTGCCAGTATGAACAGTTAAAAGCAACACATGTCTCTATCACACTGCAGCATGACGATATCAATCTGAACCTCTATAATGGCAGTCTATGGGACTGTTGCTAGGGTGCCGTATTTGGTTGTCAGGGGTGTGGCTAGAAAGTTAAAAGCTCATCAGTTATTGGTAGTTTGGTAGTCAGGTAGTCAGGAGTTAAATGAGCCCAGTTAAAAGTCTGTGCGACAGTTTCATGTAGAGTTATGAGCTCACAAAGTTTGACCCAATGTAAAGTCAATGAGAGTCTTTTGCAGTGGAAGTCTATGGGACAGTTTCTAGGGTCCCAAAAGTGGTTGCTAGGGTGTGGCCAGAAAGTTAAAAGCTCATCAGTTATTGGCAGTTAGGTAGTCTGAGTTAAATGAGCCCAGTTATAAGTCTGTAGGACAGTCTGATGCAGAGTTATGAGGTCACAAAGTTTGATCCAATGTTAAGTCAATGGGATTTTTCTGACCGTCCCGGGACGTTTTTCAGAAAACCAAAAGTCGGATCAGTCGGAAAAGATATAGCAACCCGAGTCAGACCAGTTTGGAGGTCTGGTGTGAGTTTGGTGGCCATAGCTTGAAAGCTCTAGGAGGAGATAGAGTTTAATTTTTAGTCTCAGAAGAAAAATAGGATAACAATAGTCTGGCTAGCTACACAAGCCAGCCTAATTAAACAGAATAAAGTGTTAAGGCTTAAAGTTAGGAAACTTTAGGAAATAAAAAAAAAATTATCTTCAATTTCATTAGCCAATGCATGAAATAGCATATTCCTAAAGCGTATTTAATTGATGGGGTACTTTTAATAAGACTTGTATGTTTATTATGAAATGTAAATCGTGGAAATTCTGCTACAGATAGCTCGGCTTTTGTTGAGTTAATGGTAATGTTAACATTAAGAGAAACCCAATATACATACAGATCCTCCCTCATCAGAGAAGTGGTAGAAAGTAGACAAAAGAAACGTGTGACTGGGAATGTGACTGGAAACACTCTCCAGGTGTGACTGGGAGTGTCTTATATGTCCACCTGTGATTGAATTGATGAAATTATTATTTTTTCTATATATTCTATATCAAAAGTCTTTAAATGTTTTATATTTGCTTTTATTTTTATTGGATAATTGCTGTTTCTCCATAAATTAGATTCTATTTGTATTTATTATTATTTAATTGTTGTTACTATTTCAAGGTCACGAGTGATTGTGTAAGCATTTCACTTCATATTATACTGTATGACTCCATATGTGACAAATAACATTTTTATGCTTAGTCATGTTCTGTATAAAGTATTTATTTTTTATATCTGCATATACAGTATATATATATATATATATATTTATTTTATTTTTCAATTTCATTTCCATCAAATTGAGTTCCGTCAAATGTTGTAGTCTCTATTATTATTATTATATAATATTATTATCTATTAATATTATTATTTGCAAGAACTGGTTTGAATTTAAATGTATTATTTTTGTTTTGCTAAAGATGTTTGGTTACCAAACTCTTATTTAAATAAATATATCTGCTTAATAAAACAGTTTTGTTTAAATGCACCAACACAATATTGCCTATATTCACTGGGAGATGTATATGAATATTAATTTTCCCTCTCATTTCTGCTGAGCACTGTGTCTGATTCGCCTCTTATCTTCCATTCCAGCCGGCCGATAAGGAAGGAGGTCTACCCAAACAAGTAGGCAATAAAACGGAGTGCGGCCTTCTGGGATTGGTCCTGGACCTGAAACGAGACTACCAGACCATCCGCAATCAGATCCCCGAGGAGAAACTCTACAAGGTGTACACGTTTAACTCCGTGCGCAAGTCCATGAGCACCGTCATCAAACTCCCCGACGGCAGCTTCAGAATGTACAGCAAAGGAGCGTCCGAAATCATCCTGAAGAAGTGAGTGATTAAATACTCCATTACTCAAATCACATTATACAGATGCAGATCGCCATGAATAAACTGAAGAAGCCCCCGAGGTGAAGAAGGCATGGAGGCAAAATCATCATTTCTGGATCATTTTGATTCTTTAATTGTTTCATCTGTAAAGATATTTGCATATTACTGTACATCCTGTGTGTGTTTAGCAGTGTGTAAGCGTTTAGACCTGCATAGGCGCATAACTAACTCTGCGCTGGACTTTAGAGCAGTTTTTAGTTGGTCAATGGTGTGGCCTATTCAGTTCCTCAAAATAGCAACTCTCCAACAATGCGCCTTAACACACCTCCTTTATAGACCAGCACACACATGAGTTTATAAAGTGGTGCAAATAGATTTGCTATTTAAACAACGAGGAGCAAAACGTGAAAATTACTGCCGCGCTGGTCTGAAAATAGCAACAAATCGCGCCAAACATGTTTTGTGTGTGTGAGGGCCCTGTGTTTCATTAACCTACTTTTAAACATATTTTGGATTTGTGTGTGGTCGATGACTTCATTTGTTGTGTTTGTTTCAGGTGTTCTCGTATTCTGAGCGAGGTCGGAGAGCCCCGTGTCTTCAGGCCCAGGGATCGGGATGAGATGGTAAAAAAAGTAATTGAGCCCATGGCCTGCGACGGCCTGCGCACCATCTGTGTGGGATACCGAGACTTTCCCAAAGACCCCGAGCCCAACTGGGAGGACGAGAACAACATCCTGACCGACCTCACCGCTATATGTGTGGTGGGAATCGAGGATCCTGTCAGACCCGAGGTGAGGAGTCCTTATGTCAAAAACGTAAAGCTGACAGAAACAAAACTGACTGAATGGAGTATACACTAACCTATGTCAAAGTCGCTGAGACACCTCTTGGCAGCAAACGCACGGGCGTTCAGTCAGTATTAAGTAAAAAAGTGTGCATTCGTTCAGAAAAAAATGGGTATTTCTGCAGCATCTCCTTGCGAACACGTCCTATTCCATAGCTTACCTAACCGGAGGTTCTTAGTTAATTTTTTTAAGCATTTGAATCACACAAAATCTGGCGAAACTCACGTCCGGTCTGAGCCCCTCCCCCTGGAGAATCCTCAGTCTATAGCCATCTCTGATTGGCTCCAGGGGAGTCGCTAGACCCAATTTACTAGGGCACATGCTGGTGAAAGCAATGCAGTTTACTCCAAAAGCAAACTGATGCATCTCTGCTTGTGCGCAGAAAACCATACATACGCATCTCTAAAGTCCAAAACCTTTTTTTTTTTCTATAAAATTGTCTTTATAATTTAATTGTAAAAAAAATTGTTACAATTTTAGTTACATTTAGAATTAATTACTGTTATTTATTTAGGAGAATAATAGTACAATAACGATAATACTTTTACTTATTTAAAACAAAAAAGTCATTACAAAAAAAAAAAAAAAAAAAAAAATATATATATATATATATATATATATATATATATATATATATATATATATAATTTTTATTTATTTTTATTACTTTTTTTAAGGGGGGCGTGCCCCAGTGGAGCTTTATGTCTAGCAACGCCCCTGACCGTTACACTATTCCCAATCAAAACTAAATGAGTGACATGTTTTGTGTATTCTACAGTGTTTGCCTACATACTATTCAGTCACAAGACGGTGCCAAACAGGCAAAAATTGTGGCGTGACAGACAAGGAGACACATATGAATGTGGATGTAAATAATGGATGTGAACGTTTTCACTGATGGTCAAGGTGATTCTCGGTTCCTAGAGAGGTTTGTGCTATTTAATGGTTGTTATCTGGGAATAACATACCTTGGAATGTCACGACTGACCAATCAAAATCGATTACTCCAGACAGATGTGTAATAAAATATAATAACACATCATTAACTTTAGTCTTTCTTTAGTAAGAAACTTTGCTGCAGTAGCATGGTTCTGCAGCTCAATGATATTACGCACCGCTATTGCATAGTTACCTAGCTGTAGACTATTTTCAGACGCTAAGTAATATCATTGCGTCGCCATATCGGCCAAGAAATTAACAACTATTCATTTTTCATTGTTCGTAAGACCCAATATAACTACAGGAGAGTCAAGATTTACATAGGAAATCTTTAAAAACTCTTTTTCGGTTTCGGTTTCGTTTTTTTTTTTTTTTTTTTTTGCGATATGCAAATCGTTTATTCTGATTCAATGATCTATGCTAGGCCAAGCTAAAACCCGGCTGAATGGATTCAAAAACGGTAACACTTACCTGTGTTCCAAACAAAGTGATTTCCATTCATACATGTTTGATAAATGATGACTGAAAGTATATCCAGATGCATTACTGCTCTTCTAGAGCTGTATCTGGTTTTATAATTGAAGACAGCTGCGTGTGTTTTTGACTGTGTGGCTTGCTCAGGTGCTCTGAGATTACTGGAGAATATTGGCGAACGGATGAGATGTTGCATCAGATCCACACCAAAGACAGGCTTTGAAACGGTGTCCTCAAATGCTCAGACATCTTCACGCTCGGGGACTGAAGAAGCGGTTATAGCGCTGCATTATTTAACCTCCTCCTTTTATCCTGCTCTTCTTTGCTTTGGTGTTCTCCACAGTCGAGATCAGCAATTGTCAGTCCGCTGAAGCTTCTTTCAGAAAGCAAGGACTGGTGCAGATCTGACCCAGGTGTTGCCCTACTCTGGGTTTGTGTAATAGCATTATGAGGATGGCACACATTTGGTGTGATTCACCCGGCGTTCTGTTACCTGTCGGCATACGTAAATCATTCCTTTCCCTAATAAACAGCCGAAACTTAAGAATCCGTAAACAAATCCATTAGTCTTGGATGTCTAATGTTGCACGTCTCCTCCCTCTGCTGTGCTGTTTTATTGATGAGGATCTTCCTCTTGTCCTGATGAGTTCAGTAGAACTGGGTTTGTCCTTGCTTTTCTCAGTAATACTCTGAAGCTGATATCATCTCTTGCTTCAGTGTCTAGACCGGCCCCCATTTCCATAACGTCTGCGAGTCACTGTCCCGCACTACTGCAAAACTACTGCGTCATTAGGATCAACGCAAACGCACACTTTACACCGTGTGACTGTAGTGTCGTGCTAAAATAAACACTAATGTTTTTTTAAAAACGAGTCAATTGTTGCCAAATTAGTTAAATTACTAAAAATAGTGCCTGTGTCATTCGCGTGGGTTTCCTCCGGGTGCTCCAGTTTCCCCTACAAGTCCAAAGACATGTGGTACAGGTGAGTTTGGTAGGCTAAATTGTCCGAAGTGTATGTGTGTAAAGCATAGACTGTAAAATATATGGACGTAGTGTCCGTGACGTCACCCATAGGTTTCTGAAGAGCACAAAAGAAGCCACAAGTAGGTGCGGCCAACCGTCGGCATTTTGTTCACGCGTCATCACACCCACGGCGGGATACCAAACAAGGGCAAAGAGGTGGAGAGTGGGCGGAGCTACAGACACCTGCTAGCATTTAGCTTGGACCTGCCTCAGACACACTTTACTTTGAGAGAAACGCTTAATACTTTATCACCTGCGACTCGTTTGTGTTCTGAACACTTGTGCTTGGTTGTACACTATATCAATAAAGTGTTTAGTCTTTTAAAAACACTGCTGTAACACACTGAGCCACTAAACATTGCTCTTATGACGTTTTTCAACAGGAGGAAAACGCAAATTACTTCCAAACACTTCAGATATAGTCTGTGTTAGTTAATGCAGGACTATTGATGAACTCCAGCATAACACTGTATGACAACGCTTCAGATGACTGATCTAGAGCCCACAGCTAATCAATCTGGCAGATTCTGCAGTGCATTACAGCTCTAAATATAAATATAAACGATAAATGATCTTAAATAAAACAAATACATGTATAGAGATGGTATAGAAGTATAGAACTTTACTCACATGGGAAACGGAGGCCACGTGAATGGTTTGTGAGCACCTTAGGTGCACTCAGCATGCCATGCCATCTAATAATTGCAGGAAACAAGTCCAAAAGGCAGTCGACTGTGTAAAGCCACATAAAACAACACAGAAATATGATAAATATGCCGAGTTCAGTGATTAATCTGCAGGATTCAGCTGAGGTGACGTGACGGCGACCAACGAGACCTAGCTGTCACTCAAGTGGCCACGCCCTTAATTATGCAAACTTAATATAACTTAATATAAAGGGAACGGATGAGTTATAAAAAAATTCACCCCCTCACAGTTGTCATGAAGGGTAATATTAGCTGTATTAACCCAAATCTTTATTTGTACCAGGCTGTAAACACCTTTTTTTCTGCTGTAAAGTTGGCCATTCTAACAGTGGGCTTAATTGAAATTTGCTCTGTTTTGGAGCCAGGAGCGGCCAGGACTAGCGGAATTTTGGATGAATTGCAGTTTCAGTTACTTCCGTATTGGCTTCCTGAGAGAGAGCGGGAGGTTGCCGCTTGGTGTGAATGAGTGTGCATGAATTCCCAGTGATGGGTTGCAGCTGAAAGGGCATCCGTTGCGTAAAACATATGCTGGATAAGTTGCCGGTTCATTCCGCTGTGGCAAACCTGGATAAATAAAGGGACTAAGCCAAAAAGAAAATGAATGAATGAATGAATGAGTACTTGTCATGACCACATTCACCATGGGGAGGCAGTGTTATCATCGTATGCAAATTTCGCTTGCACAATCCAAAATAAACAATCTAATATTAGCATCTGATAGCTCCTCCCCTTCATCAGAACACCCTACTTTTTCTCAGCAGCCGCTGCTCTTTATACATAGCTCCTCCCTTTACCAATAGCCCCTCCCATTCACCAAGATGCCTCTTTACTTCAACAACAGCCCCCCTACATTTGTCAAGCAGTTTAATTCAGTGGATGCGGAATTAAAGGGCAGTTAATTTGAACAGCGCACGAGGGTTACACCAGAGCAGGTTATGGCTGAAGCTGATCTTCTAGCATGCAAATGAAACCTTCAGATGAATGATTTGTTCTTTTGCTGGATGAGAAATGGCCTCAACCGATGCATAATTAGCACAGGAGGCCTTTGAGTTGCTGCTTGGACCAGATGTGTGTGTGTGTAGATTCATGCTTACATGCAGTTTTGTTGCGCAGGTGCCGGATGCCATCCAGAAGTGCCAGCGTGCAGGAATCACCGTGCGGATGGTGACAGGTGACAACATCAACACCGCCCGAGCCATCGCCATCAAGTGCGGCATCATCCACCCTGGAGAAGACTTCCTGTGCATCGATGGCAAAGAGTTCAACAGGAGGATCCGCAACGAGAAGGGGGAGGTGCATACTGCACACTGCATACTATATATATACAACACTGCACACTACAAACTGCATACTCTAGCATGGCACACAACATATACAGCACTGTACACTCCACACTGCACACTACATATACCGTGTAACACTACACTCTAATCACTAAATGTTGCACACTGCATACTACATGCTTCATACTACACACTACATACTATGAGCTACATGCTACCCACTGCACATTACACGCTGTAAGCTACACACTGTATGCTGGACTCTACACATTACTTACTGCATGCTTCAGACTGCACACTACACATTCTTTAGACACCTCGGAAAACAAGCTGATCAAGCTGATTCTGCTGGTCCATTATTATAAACAAAAAACATTCATTGCACATACATTAGTGTAAACATTTCTGCTTGGACGACACTAAAGAGAGAGATGAATTGAGTGCATGGTAATCAACATCACATGAGTGCACCAGAGAGCTTAATGTAAACTGAAGCAGAAACACTGCTTCACAGAGCTGATGTTGCTGCATTCCGCTACTCTGATAATTTATGGCTTGTTTTGATGCCGTCGTGATTACATTAGTCGCAAATGTGCTTCCAGCAAGTAATGCAGTGCTGGTATCGATGCAGACAGTTATTGAGCACGTTTGACAGGTTCCAGCAGCAGTGCACAAGGGAATCATGTAATACACACTCATCTATATGTAAATTCACTGCGTCCCTGATCAATGTTTACAGTCATCACAAGACAAGGATAAGAGGCCAAATGGCTTGTTTTTCCTGCCGTGTAGTGCAGTCTTACAGTGTGTGTGGACAGTTGATGCATGTGTTGTGTTTTGCAGGTTGAGCAGGAGCGCATCGATAAGGTTTGGCCCAAACTGCGAGTGCTCGCCAGATCCTCACCCACAGACAAACACACGCTGGTCAAAGGTGAGCTCTCTTTACTCATGTTTATTTCAGCGAGATGCACACTGAGCATTGTAATTCAGATTCAGTGATGTGGTGAAGCATACTGCAATTGTGAGGCCATTTCTCCTAATTCCGACTAGAAACTAGGAGTAGTTAGATTTGTAAGATATGATAGATATAGATATTCTTCCTTGGAAATCTGTGTTGTATGATATAAACCCACTGTGAACACACTAAACATGATTGATTAATGATATATATATATATATATATATTATAACACACCTACTAGTTTAGTGTCTGCATCAGATTACATTTAGACCCCACTGAAAAATCCAGCTTAAACCAGCCTAGGCTGGTTGGCTGGTTTTTGCTGGTCAGCCAGGCTGGTTTTAGAGGGGTTTTGACCATTTCCAGGCTGGTTTCCAGTCATTTCCAGCCTGGTCTTAGCTGGTCAGGCTGGGAGATGACCAGCTAAAACCAGCTTGAGCAGCCTAGCCAGGCTGGGAGCCCAGCCAAAACCAGCTATGTCCAGCTTAAACCAGGGTGGTCAAGCTGGTTTTAGCTGGATTTAGCAGGTCATTTAGAAGGGCTTCAGATGAAAGTTAATGAGGATTTTGGTTAAACGTTGATCCTTATTTAGAGTTTATTCATTCTCCGTCAGCTTAGTCCCTTTATTTATTAGAGGTCGCCACAGCGGAATGAACCGCCAACTATTTCAGCATCTAGAACTGTGAAACATACACCTTCATTCACACACACACACGCACACACACACACGCACACACACACACACACACACACACACACACACACACACACACACTCATCCTCGACAGTCATTTCGTTCATTCGCTTCCCCTATAGCAGGCGTGTCCAAACTACGGCCCGCGGGCCATCTGCGGCCCGCAATCTGTTTTGTGGCGGCCCGCGAGGCTTTTTATAAATATCAATAGAATCTGGCCCGCTATACAAAAATGAACGTGATTCAATAAATAACCACCGGGTGTCGCTATTATATGCATTCAATTAAGCAGCAGTTCTTGTTATGATCTATCTATCTATCTATCTGTCTGTCTGTCTGTCTGTCTGTCTGTCTGTCTGTCTGTCTGTCTGTCTGTCTATCTATCTATCTATCTATCTATCTATCTATCTGTCTGTCTGTCTGTCTGTCTGTCTGTCTGTCTGTCTGTCTGTCTGTCTATCTATCTATCTACACACAGTTGAAGTCAGAATATTTAGCCCCTCATTGATTTATTTCTTCTTTTTTAAATATTTCCCAAATGATGTTTAACAGAGCAAGGACATTTTTACAGTATGTCTGATAATATTTTTTCTTTTGGAGAAAGACTTTTGTTTTATTTCGGCTAGAATAAAAAGCGGTTTAAATTTTTTTATGAACCATTTTAAGGTCAAAATTATTAGCCCCTTAAGTCTTCAGAACAAACCATTATTATAAAATAACTTGCCTAATTACCTTAACTTGACTAGTTAACTTGATTAACCTAGTTAAGCCTTTAAATGTCACTTTAAGCTGTATAGAAGTGTCTTAAAAATATCTAGTGAAATATTATTTACTGTCATCATGGCAAAGATAAAATAAATCAGTTATTAGAAATAAGTTACTAAAACTAATATGTATAGAAATGTGTGGAAAAAAATCTTCTCTCCGTTAAACAGAAATTGGGGAAAAAATAAACGGGGGCTAATAATTTAGGGGGGCTAATAATTCTGACTTCAACTGTATATATATATATATATATATATATATATATATATATATATGCGTGTCTGTGTGATGTATGTAAAATTTGGCCCGCGACAACGTTTGTTTTTTTGCATCTGGCCCTCGGCCCAAAAAGTTTGGACACCCCTGCCCTATAGGTTTGACATGTAAACATTTATTACACTCTGACTGAAAACTGATTGATACTTTAACTAAAATTAAATTGAAATAAAAAGTAATAACATTCCTTAATACTAATAAGAAGTACAATACTATCTCAGTTGTGCTAAAATGACATGACAGCTCATAACATAAATATATAATCACAGTCTAGCAGATTATGTAATGCTGTTCCCGCAATATAAATCATTGATCAAGCCTGCGAGTTACGTAAGGCTGAGCATCGCGGCTGAAGTTACAGGCTCATTTACATACTGTAAGTACATGTTGAGCTGTAATTACTCCACTGCTGTATTTAATTAGGTGTTTCCAGCTGTTCTCTCCTGATTGTTCCTGATGTTCTTCTGTCATGTCGCTTTACTGCTGCTCGGTATAGTGTTAAGCCAGGCTTTTCTGGACACATCTGATCAACTCCATTTGCAGGCTTCATTCAGTGGGATAAAATAAACCTCATTAAAAAGTGGCTCAGTGGTTAGCACTGTCGCTTCACAGCAAGAAGATCACTGGTTCGAGTCCCGGATTGGTCAGTTGGCATTTCTGTGTGGAGTTTGCATGTTCTCCCTGTGTTGGCGTGGGTTTCCTTTGGGTGCTCCGGTTTCCCCCACTGTCCAAACACATGCGCTATAGGGGAATTGATGAAGTAAATTGCCCGTAGTGTGTGAATGTGTGTGAATGGGTGTTTATGGCTGCTTTCCAGTATTGGGTTGCAGCTGAAATGGCATCCGCTGCATAAAACATGAATAGTTGGCGGTTCATTCCACTGTGGCGGCCCCTGGCAGTCTCCATGATCTTGCTCTGTGAGGGTTGTCAGTAAGTGTCTGCTGTGTCTTTTCAGGCATTATCGACAGCACTCTGGTGGACCAGCGGCAGGTCGTGGCTGTAACCGGAGACGGAACCAACGACGGTCCGGCTCTGAAGAAGGCAGATGTGGGATTCGCCATGGTGAGACCTGCTGGAAATGTGCTCAATCTGCATCCTCTGAGGCCTGTTCTTCTAGAGCACAGACTGTCCTCATTTCACAACACACACACACATTCAGGCAAACACAGAATCAGAGCGCCCCCTAGTGGCAGCACACACTCTCTGCAACTGTGTGTCTAAAGCATAGACTGTAAAAGGATCTATAGACATGTCTGCATGGTATATGCAGAAGAACTCATTTTCAGTAACCCAGTTCAAGCACTTTCGGTAAGGAATTGGCCACGTTTAACATCTGTTTTCTTTAAAAATCAGTGATCTCCACTGCCTGATATACGATGTAAAGTGGGTCTCAAAGTGTACCAGAAGCACTGCATTAAACTACATTGTTCTGCACCATGTCTTTATAATATGAGCATTTATTTCACTCCAGTATTTTCGATGTTCGAGTTTCAGTGCTCGCCGGCTGATCCTGATGGCGCGTGCGTGTAAACGGCTATCTTATCTCATTTTACTCTAAAATGTAAAACTAAAATGTAGGCTCAAGTCTTTTTAAATGATTATATTTTTTATTATATTACAACATCTGTGCTGTAAAAAGAACCGTGTGAAATTAAAAAAGGTCACCGGAAGTTTATTTGTAGTGGATGAAACACCAGCTATGCATACAGTTGAAGTCAGAATTATTCGCCCCCTGAATTATTACAATTTCTGTTTAACAGAGAGCAGATTTCTTCTGCACATTTCTAATCATAATAGTGTTAATAACTCATCTCTAATAACTGATTTATTTTCTCTTTGACATGATGACAACCAGGGGCGGAATGGGGCAAAAATTCAGCCCTGGCACTGTAGCCACATCAGCCCACATTACCACACCGACACAGCCCCACCCACGGACACGCACATTCAGTATTTTTTTGGTGCACAGATGGTAAAATAATATGACATTCTTGCCAGATTTTGATAACGTCCGGTTGACCTCGGATTGGGTCGGCCAATCTTGAAAACAGGCGGCCGTCGCCGATTGGGCCACATGCATAACATTTATTATTATTATTTTTTTATTTATTTATTATTATTATTATTATTTTTAAATCAACATCATAATATCACATCTAGCAAGAGATAAAAGCTGCTTGCACGTAAAAACAATACATATTAAAAAAAAAAAACAAGAAAAAAAAAACTGACCGGCCCACATTTAAAAATTGTCCGGCCCTTCTGGCATTTGCCAGGATTGCCAGATGGCCAGTCCGCCCCAGATGATAACAAATAATACTAGACTAGATATTCTTCAAGACACTTCTATAATTCGCAATCAAGAAATTCTTTGTCAAGAATAAATAAGTGTAGGTTACTAATATTAAATTCCCTGAGGTCATCCATTTAGATAATTATTTGCAGAATAATGATCATTATTAACTGCAGATTGTTATTATAAAATGGACCTTTCGTTTGTTTGTGTGTGAAGCGTTGTGTTCAGTACAAAAACCTGACCAGATACTTGATGCTGTTATGCTTAATGCAGTATAGCTCAGTGTTACCGGTAGACAGGTGGGCAGTTTTCAGACTGACAATCACTAATATGTGTGTAGAAATATTATATGTGGCAATACAGTTGCAATCAAAATGATTAGCCCCCCTGAATTATTCGCCCCCTGTTTATTTTTTTCCCCAATTTCTGTGTTACGGAGAGCAGATTTCTTCAACACATTTCTAATCATAATAGTGTTAATAACTCATCTCTAATAACTGATTTATTTTCTCTTTGTCATGATGACAGTAAATAATATTAGACTAGATATTCTTCAAGACACTTCTATACAGCTTAAAGTGACATTTAAAGGCTTCACTAGGGCAATTAGGTTAACTAGACAGGTTAGGGTAATTAGGCAAGTTATTGTATAATGATGGTTTGTTCTGTAGACTATCCAAAACAAATACAGCTTAAAGGGGCTAATAATATTGACCTTAAAATGATGTTTAAAAAATTAAAAACTGCTTTTATTTTTAATCATCATTTTTGGATTCATACTTTTATTGACATTGTATATATGGAAATGTCCACTGCTCGCATCCACGGTGCAAGAGAGGACACCATCAGACTTTGGGCGCAAACTTTAGACAGGCTTAAAGATTTACTAACTTGAATCCATGAGACACCAAAAAGCATGAAATCTTGGCTCCATAATAACTAATAATTTTTATTATCAATTTGTTTTATTATAATATTATTTAATTATCTTTATTTTATGTGTTATTATTATTTTTTTCTCTTTCATTTTTCCCTTTTTATAGTAATTTAAGGTTCCCTCTTTGGGCTTCTTTCATTGTCGTAGACCTTTTTCAGCACAGTTTTAAATACCTATCTCTATGTGTATATCACCATTCTTCTATTTAATTGTTTATTTTTAATTGGCTTAATTTTAACCTTACTTAACCCTAAGTACAGATTTGGCTTTTTGCCTTTTTTGGTTTTGAAATTTGTTTTATTTACATGTATGTATGTGTGCATATGTATATGGCTATATGTATGTGTGTGTGTATGTATGTTTGTTTGTATGTGTATATGCATATATGTATGTGTGTGTGTATATATATATATATATATATATATATATATATATATATATATATATATATATATATATATATATATATATGTATATGTACTAATTTATTTTATTTGTCATTTTTATTTGTCATTTTTATTTGCGTCAGTATGTCCTTGTGATTATTCTTCAGTTTTTTTCCCTTTTACTGACAATAATATGCATGGCATGGCAGGCGCTATTATTAATACTATTATTTAACAACTTGTATATTGGTTTATATATGTATATCTACACATTATGTTTTATGCTGATTGTCTACGGCATGTTCTTCTGTGTTCAAAAAATACAAAATAAAAGAAAAATTTGATGGAAAAGAAAAAAAACTGCTTTTATTCTAGCCGAAATAAAAGAATAAGACTTTCTCCAGAAGAAAAAAATATTATCAGACATACTGTGAACATTTCCTTGCAGTTAAATATAATTTGGGAAATATTTAAAACACAAAAAAATTCAAAGGAGGTTTAATAATTCTGACTTCAACTGTTTATTTTCGTTGTTCTTGTCATGTGATAAGGTATCATGTGATCCGGATGTGTACAAAAGGAGCACCTGATTGTGATGAACACTGTCTGATGAGGAGCCGTGTGGTTCGAAACGTTACACGCTTTGTGTCAGCATTTTTAATTTAACAAATTAGCATTTTTCTAAGCTTTGGTGTTTCCGCCTTTGTTTAATATATAATTTGCTCTTTTTGCGTTTTTTGAGATAAGAGTGATGTGCTTTTGCACTGTTTTTCTATAGGACACTTTAAAATGTTATATGTGTGCGTACACATTAGATTAGTCAGTACTGAAGCCAAATCTGGAGCTAATCTAACCAAATAACTTATTTGCTGAAATTTATATATTAGGGAGAAATATTAGAAAAAGTATTATCAGACAAGCTGGGAAAATTTCCTTGCTCTGTTAAATAAATATTTAAAAAAGAAAAAAAAATCAAAGGGGGGCTAATAAATTCTGACTACAACTGTATATCGCAATATTTATCGCAGAAAAACTGGTATCACATTATTTTGATGGTTAATTTGAGTATTAGAAGACTGTCTGCTTAACATCTGCTGATGCTGCTTCTTTAACAGACATTTAACTGGCTATAAGAAACTTTGCAAGTACATGTCATCCTACACTAACCCCAACCCCAACCTAACAGTCTACTTACAGTCTAATGAGAATAATTGGCATGTAGATGCAATGTAACTTAATTCAACAAACGGACCATCAAAATAAAGTGTTACTGAAAAACTAAATATCATCATCTGGTCCATCATTTTTCCAGTATCTTGCAGCCCTAAACTAGAGACAGAATACATGTGTTTTTGTGGATGAGGCATCAGAGCGATGTGACTGACTGGCTGTGTGTGTCTGCACAGGGAATCGCAGGGACGGATGTGGCCAAAGAAGCGTCCGATATCATCCTCACAGACGACAACTTCTCCAGCATTGTGAAGGCTGTGATGTGGGGAAGAAACGTTTATGACTCCATCTCCAAGTTCCTTCAGTTCCAGCTGACCGTCAATGTGGTGGCGGTGATCGTGGCCTTCACCGGAGCCTGCATTACTCAGGTCTGCACCTCAATAAACACTATTATTACTGCTTAAACTCAGCTTTAAGGAATGCTTAACTCAAACATTAACCATTGTGCGTCATCGGGGATGATTTTAAGTCTTAATTACTCACATTTTCTTTAAGAAATGAGCAAAGCTGCTAAACTTACGTCACTGTCTGCACACATCCAAGACCAGCTATCTGACCTACTATGAGGCCCAAATTAGACTATGCAGAGACACGAGCGAAGAATCCTTATTAGATTACTAGGCCAAGGCCAAAGACTTCATCCCTATGATCTAAAATAGCATTGTTTAATTTCCTAGAGGATCGCTAACCTAATAAATGATGCAGCAGCTCTAAGAGAAACAGGCTAGACTGTGTGCAGAGACTGAAACGAGTGCTGGAGATGAGCAGAGGTCTTCATTTCAGGGACGTCTTACCAATATTATATGACATAACGACAGGCGTGTCACACTAATCAATATATGAATTTATCGCACAACACGTGGACATGACCTTAATCACTTTTGGTGATGAAATATATATATCATCCATACAAAAAAAACACTTCTAGCAACATTATAGCTGATTGCGCAACACTCTCTCTTTATTTTTAGGTGTCAGTGTCAGTATGGTTCAAAAACACTGTAGTATTTACTATAAATGACTATAGTATATTCGTATGTGGGTGTCTGACAACTGAAAATATTTATTTAATTGATAAATATTTATTAAATAGTTAAAATATGGTTAAAATTGTGAAAATATGGAATATTCTTGAGAATAAAATAAAGAATAAAAGATTATCTGTTCTTTTTGAAGACTGTACTTGCATTATGATGCTATTATTGTGTCAAAGTGGTCTTAAAATGGCAATGGTATTGTTTATCGCAAGACATTGTGGTGCTATATATCGCACCACAAAATATAGATATCATGACAGATATATTGTGATAGTTATGATATTCAAATGGTCGGTCACAAATTTTAATAGCTGGCAATTGAGGAATTAAATAGGTATTATGTACACACATTGCCATGTAAAAGTTTGTGAATCCCTTGCAGAATTTAAGAGAATTTATCAGAGAAATCCATGATTTTTTTATTTAGTTCTTTCTTAAGATATTTTACTTAAAGATGTCTCCATATAGTTCAGAAAACAAACAAATAGCTGACATTATTAAAATGACCCAATAAAAGTTTGTGAATGCTACTTTATGTGATGTTTTATAAACATATTTCTCGAGGAGCACGCGCAGATGTTTCAACAATTCTATTACATCATTGATAATCATTCTATTATCCAACCAGCATTAGACCAAACCCAAATAAATACCAAGCTCGTCCTACCTTCGTTAACTTACGACTTTAGCCTCCCTCTTCCACTCCAACACCTCACCTCCTAAACAATATCTAGCTAGGGGGAGCGTTCCGGGGCTGGGCTAGACACTTCACTCAGACCCCAACGTCTCTCTCTTTTCCAACAAGGTGAGTTACATGAGTTGTGGTGTCTTTTCCAAACTCAGAGCCCTCTCCCTGGACAGCATGCCGAAAATGCTCTCCGCTGTTCACTTTCTCCCGCGGCTCCCCAACCTTCTTCACTTTTGTCCAAGAAAAGCCCTCTTCATTTTGTCCGCAACATCCACCCCCCGTGCTCAACCTCAGTCAACATACCGGATCCATAACCCCATCTGGTCTGGGACCTCTCAATTCACAAATTAAGCACTAGATGTAAGTGTATACTCGTGAACTGGGTGTCTGATTATTTTCTTTAGTGCTTTTTGCTTTGTGAGTACTGTTCAAAGGCCTCTTGTTTGAAATATTCTTCAGATATCCTCCATTTGTAATCTTCTGTAAAAAAAAAAAACAAGAGGAAAATGAAGTGCAGTTTACCTTGATCTTCCAATTGCAAAAGTTTTAGCCCCCTTAAATGCATAGTGTTTCCTTCTGGATCATCAGGGAGAGCTTAAAGTTTTTATTAAAGTTGTACATTTTATAATAATTCCAGCACTAAAAAATGGACACGAGGGTTCTAAAGAACAGTATAAATGTAACTGTTCCGAACAAGTGAGACCAAAACTGTATTCCAGGGCATTATTTTTAATATTGTAGTCTTCTGAAGTATATATAAACATCTTACGTGCCTAAAATACTTTAAACATATCCTAATATTAACCATTTAGCAGTGGGGATATTGTAGAATGTCATCAAGTTACATTGTAATATGCTGTCCGGTGGTTCTTTAATGCCAAATTGCGATGATCTGTAGTGAAATCTTTCTCAGTCTTGTTTCATTAATGGTCCTTCAGGATTCTCCTCTGAAAGCAGTGCAGATGTTATGGGTGAACTTGATCATGGACACATTTGCATCTCTGGCTCTGGCCACCGAACCGCCCACCGAGTCTCTGCTGATGAGGAAACCCTACGGCCGAAACAAACCTCTGATCTCCAGCACTATGACCAAGAACATCCTGGGCCACGGCGTCTACCAGCTCGTCATCATCTTCTCACTGCTGTTTGTGGGTGAGTTACAGTGACTAACGTGTAGAAGTACATACACTGAGGATCAAAATTAGACAGCAGATTACCTTGATTATTTCAGAAACTACGCTTATAGTTTAAAATTGTGTTGTAGCTATACCGTGCTAGTAGAAAACAGTGTTACAGTCAGAACAGAAGAACTAAACTTTCTGACAGTTACAACAGTCAGAAATAAGTAGAAGTAGACACAGGTCATAACTAGTCTCTTACTATTCTCACACAAGTCATAACTACTGGACTCACACAGGTCATATCTAGTATCTCAAAGGTCATAACTAGTCTCTCACAAGTCTCTCAGGCCATGACTAGTCTTTTACTAGTCTCACACAGGTTGCAACTAGTCTTTCAATAGTTTTTCACAGGAAATAACTAGTCTCTCAGGTCATAACTAATCTCACATAGATCATAACTAGTCTTTCAAGTCATAAGTAGTCTCTCACTTGCCTCACACAGTACATACCTAGGTACTTACTAGCGTCTCAGGACATAACTAATCTCACAAAGGTCATAACTAGTCTTAAACATGTCACAACTAGTCTCTCAGGTCACAACTAGTCTTACACGTGTCAAAACTAGTCTCTCACCAGTTTCTCAGGTCATAACTAGTCACTCACCAGCCTCACACAGGTCATAACTAGTTTTTCACAGGGCTCTCACAGGTCACAACTAGTCTTACACAGGTCATAACTAGTCTTACTAGTCTCTCAGGTCATAACAAATCTCATATAGGTCATAACCAGTCTTTCACTAGTCTTCCACAGGTCATAACTAGTCTCTTACTAGTTTATCAGGTCATAACTAGTCTCACATGGGTCATAACTAGTTTTTCACAAGGCTCTCACAGGTCATAACTAGTCTCTCAGGTTATTCCTAGTCTCTTACTAGTCTCACACAGTTCAAAACTAGTCTCACACAGGTCGTAACTAATCTCTCACTAGTCTCCCAGGACATAACTAATCTCACAAAGGTCATAACTAGTCTTAAACATGTCACAACTAGTCTCACAGGTCACAACTAGTCTTACACAGGTCATAACTAGTCTTACTAGTCTCTCAGGTCATAACAAATCTCATATAGGTCATAACCAGTCTTTCACTAGTCTTCCACAGGTCATAACTAGTCTCTTACTAGTTTATCAGGTCATAACTAGTCTCACATGGGTCATAACTAGTTTTTCACAAGGCTCTCACAGGTCATAACTAGTCTCTCAGGTTATTCCTAGTCTCTTACTAGTCTCACACAGTTCAAAACTAGTCTCACACAGGCCGTAACTAATCTCTCACTAGTCTCCCAGGACATAACTAATCTCACAAAGGTCATATCTAGTCTTTCAGTAGATTTACACAGGTCATAACTAGTCTCTTGCTAGTCTATCAAGTCATAACTAGTCTCTCAGGTCATAACTAATCTCATATAGGTCATAACTAGTCCCTTTTGGCTGCAGAAACAGTGTTGTGTGTGTTTGTGTCGCAGGCGAGCAGATCTTTGACATCGACAGTGGCAGGAACGCTCCTCTGCACTCTCCTCCATCAGAGCACTACACCATCATCTTCAACACCTTCGTCATGATGCAGCTCTTCAACGAGATCAACGCCCGCAAGATCCACGGCGAGAGGAACGTCTTTGACGGCATCTTCAGAAATCCCATCTTCTGCTCCATTGTTGTGGGCACGTTCGCCATTCAGGTACCGAAACCTTCGAGAAAAATAAAGAGAATTTAAGAAGTACATTCTACATCTGTTCACAGTCTGCTCCGTCATTACTCACTGTGGTTTTAGATTGTGATTGTTCAGTTCGGAGGCAAACCCTTCAGCTGTTCTCCTCTGGATCTGGAGAAGTGGATGTGGTGTGTGTTCCTGGGCATGGGAGAGCTGGTCTGGGGACAGGTAATAAACACATTTACATGCAGTATGTGATATTCTTTTATCAATCATGAACACAAACTGCTGAGCTTAATTTTGTGACATGTTTTCCTAGTTCATGCAAGGCCTACTTTAAAGGGTCACGAAACACCAGAACACATGTGTTGAGCTGTTGACAGTGGTATATGTGTCGCACACTGCTAAAAACACTATTAGGACACCTATATTTCACTAAAAAGTGTAAATTGGTTGTTTTTGCGTTATTTCAAGCAAATTCGTACTTCCTGTTTGAAACGAATTTTTGAAGCTGCGTCACGGTCATGAGATAATAGCGTGTATTCCAGCGTGCAGACTGACGTCTGTGCCAGAGTGAGTCTTATTACGTCTTACAGTGTGCTGCATTAATGCATGAGTAAGGCTTGGGTCAAACCAATCAGCGCGCTCTATTGTGCAACTTCATTAATATTCATTATTGTCACCGTGTTTACACCACAAAGACGCCACGTTGTGTTGGCAAAACAAGCGTGAAGTGTTGCTTTTATAGTTTGCTGCTGTTAAGTTTCGTTTTCATTTTCTCTCTGTGAGAGCTCAGCTGGAGTCACGTGTGGATTAACAGTGTACGCGACGCGCGACAACAATAACTTACGTGTCTAAGGAGGATTATTGTTTACCTGAGAGCTGTTCTCATCTGCAAATGCTGAGATCCGGATTCGCTTGTAGTCTCCTCTTAATAAAGACGCGGCTCTAGTTGCTGGTGATTGTTCTGTCTCTACAGATTTGGTAAGTGAGCGACCAGTGCTCTTTGTTTATTCAGTTTGTTCGTATCGAATTAAGTTAACTATTGCACTGAGTGCAGAAATGTTAGCACCACATTTAGTGACCGGAATAACACACGCGGCTTTCTGATGCTACCTGCCTTGTGCATCTAAGTTTCCGGGAAATGCAGAGGTTTTTTTCTCTTATTCGCCATGCGGTATCAAACATTGCATGAAAAATACACACTTGCAGCAGTTCCTCGAATCAAATATCTCGTTCGTCGCGAGAGGCATGAATGAATTCCCTGAATGAAAGAGCCAAACTGCAGTTAAAGTCCAACATTTAATAATTTGGCAAATAATTCGACTACAGATGTCCATGTAGGTTAAACACCATCACTTTTTCTCCTGTCTGTGTGTGTGTGTATTTTGACTCTGAAACTCGCGCGTGCACAAATAGACACTCCCACACCATCCCACTTTAGTTCCTCCGACACTCCCCGCTAAACAGAGCTGGACACGCCCACTTTTCTGACTTTTTCCAAAGTAGAGGTGTGAAAACACCCTGCTGAAACGAGGGGGTTTCATGGCCCTATAAAGGAATAGTTAAGAGATCAATTAAAAATGATGTTGGTAATGAATTACTTTATTAAGACAAACACACACACACACACACACACACACACACACACACACACACACACACACACACACACACACACACACACACACACACACACACACACACATTTTAAACTAATAATCATTTGTCCTGTCTGCTTAATATCTGCTGATTCTGCTCCTTCAACAGACATTTAACTGACTATTAGAAACTTTGCAAGTACATGTCAACTTACACTAACTCTAACCCCAATCTAACAGTCTACTTATAATCTAATGAGAGTTAGTTGATATGTAGATGCAATGTAACTTAAATTCAACAAAATGTGTCAAAGGACCATCAAAATAAAGTTAACCAAAATCTAAAGCTAAGCTACCATATAAATAAAAGCATAAATGCATGAGAGTCACTTACCTTTGGCCGATTCATGACTTGGTTGTCTACACTTTGTGGATGACCTCTGACCTTTCTTTGTAATCTTTTAGAAATGTTTAAAATTTAAACATTTTGAAATAAGAAGTTTTTTTTTTCATGTTGTGACGCAGAAACTGAATATTTAAATGAGAAAACAGTAGGCGTGGCTTGTTTTTTCTCCTGCGAGCTGATTGGATGTAGTAAAGTAGGTGTTTCATTCAGAAAGATGGGGAAAAGAGTTCGGGGAGGGTTATTACAACCTAACAGACTCCTCCTGCTGGTCACCATTTCTGTTTGATGTCAAAACTGACAGCTGGAGGGGCGTGGTTAAGTATGTTAGCCCCGCCCAGTACCTCAGACATACCTAATCTGAGAATTTAAGTGAAAACAAACATCTGTGAACGTTTTTTGCTATTTCTGCAGAGAATTTTGGTAAAAATCTGCGGATTTCTGCTGAATTGTTTTGGGAGTATCATAACTAAAACCTTAATATGTGAAATAAAAATAATATCTTTTAACTTTTATTAAATTTTTGCAATGCAAATCCAATTAGATTCACTGTATTTGATAAACAAAGCAAGTCTGTGATGTGATATCTCTACTAAAAGACAGAAAATATTACTACTTACTGCATTGTACATAAGTCAGATCAACATTTTTATATTAGTCAATAACTAGTCTTTCACTAGTCTCACATATGGCATAACTAGTCTTTCACTAGTCTCACACAGGGCATAAATAGTCTATAAGCTGCATATTCCTGTTGTGAAGCTCAAACCTCCTCACTTTTTCCCAGGTCATTTCCACAATCCCGAACAGCAAGCTGCGGTTCCTGCGAGGCGCCGGGCAGCTGACACAGAAGGATGAAATGCCTGAGGAGGAGATGAACGAGGACCAGGAGGAGATCGACCACGCCGAGCGGGAGCTGCGGAGAGGACAGATCTTGTGGTTCAGGGGGTTAAACAGAATACAGACACAGGTCAGAAACACACACACTCACACACACTCAGCATCAGTTCATGAACACTCCATGTTCCAGCTGAATCTTCATCTATTGCGTTTCAAGATCTAGCTTGCAGTCTCACTACAAATTAAAATTTTATTATTAATTTAAAATTACACACATGCAGTTCTGTAGCATACTGCTGTCTGAAATGTTTATATTGATCACTCATTAGTGATGGGAAGTTCAAATCATTTTACTGACTCGGATCTTTGAGTCTCGTTCATCGAGATGAACGATTCTTTTTTCGAGTCATTTCGTTCATTTTGTTCAACTTGCCAAAATATTATTAAAATGTTATAAATTGCCTTTGAACACATCTACAACAAGCCCAAAAGGTTGATCACACGACAAATAAGTCATTAATAGGACACTATAAGAAGGAGAAAATAATAATGAACGAATGAACGAATCACTCCCTGAGAGGACTCGTAGTTCCCGAGTCATATTGAAGATTCGTTATATACAGCATATACAGCACTGTTCTTTTAACAAAGAATACATCAAATCAGCTGGTAACAGAAGGGTTTTGTTATTGATATATTACTAATATAATCAATAATATAACAATATATATGATGTCTTATAAGATTTATAACACACTTATTATATACACTTTATTTTAAGGTGTCTTTGTTTCAGTGCAGCTACTTATTTAACTACTGAGTAAGATGAATTAATTGTATGTACTGCATTTACAACATGGTTAGAGTTGAATGCAGGTTAAGTTTTAATTAGTTGTAATTACTATAGGAAGTACAGAGAAAATGTGTAACAAGAACACCTTAAAATAAATTGTCCCACTTTATATTAAATGTCCTTAACTACTATGTACTTACATCAAAAAATAAATACAATGTACTTACTGTGTTTATAATGTATTTGAGAACACTTGTGGTGCTTGTGAGTTGGGATAGAGGTTGGGTTATGGATGGGTTTTGTGGCATGGGTAGGTTTAAGGGTGGGTTAAGGTGTGGGGATGGTCAACAGTGTATTTACAAATGTAATTACAAAAGTTAATTACCGATGTAATTACATACATGTATTTAATTAAGCAAAAGTACATAGTAAATACATGTATTTACACAATAAGTACATTGTAACAAAGTATTAATTCATGTGTAAGTACATATTAGTTAAGGCCACTTAATATAAAGTGGGACCAAAAAAACAAAGAAACATTTGCTTGAATTTATTTAGATTTGTTAAAAGTGATGTTGTAATTCTGCAAGAGTGTGTCACGGGTGGCAAGGAGGACCCAAATGCAGAATTGACAAGAGAACACAAGGTTTATTTTCAGGAGGTAAACAAGGCTATGCAGGAGGACAGTCAATGGTGCAGGGCGATTTCAGGAGAACAGGCTGGTGAGGGGAGGAGACTCAGGACTTCAGGATGATACAGAGGGAAGTGTCTTAAGAGGGTAACACAGGCTGGTCAGGAAAGGGGAATTCCAAATTTCAGGCCAAGAAGTGAAAAGGTAGCTAGCTGAACCTCTGGTTAGGGACAGGGGTGGCAAACAGATCGATCATCAAGGGGAGGGGATCCACAACCAGCGATGAACCAGAAGGGAAGTGACACAAGCAACACAACAGGACTAGACGGCTGGGGAAACAAGAAAATTAAAAAGAAGAGCAAGCAAAAAACAAACTAGAACTAAGTAAATATGAGAAATATTTAAAAGGGGAAATAAGAGCTCAAAAAACAAAACGAAGCAAATAAGGAACTAAATGAAACTACTGAAACTTAAACAAAAGGCTTAAAGAAATGAGCTATAACTAGAAATAAAACAGAAAGCAAAACACAGGAACAGGAATTAAAAAAATAAAGAATTAACTAAAGACTAGGGCTAGACTGAGGCTAAGGATCCCAAAAATAGCAAAATGAAAACTCAAAATTAGTCTTGAACTGCAAACAGAAATAAAGTTGAAAATGACAGCAACCTTATTGAGAGAAAAAATAAATAAATAAATTAACCAAATCAAAAGGATAAATCAATTCAAGATAAAGATCAAAAAGACTTGTACTAGACAAAGGAAACAAAACTAGACCATATGAAAAAAAAAAACCCTCTATCATGCACTAAACAAGATAAGCTAGACAAGCACACGAAAGATAGTATGACGAACCGGCAAGTGGAAAATGAACTCAATATAAAGGGAGTAGATAGCACAAGGAACAGGTGAACATAATTAGACAAAAAAGGACTAAACAAGGGGGCGAGGCATAGGAAAACAAGGAGGCAGGACAAGAGGAGCACATGGCCAACACAACAAAAGAGACAACCATGTGCTAATCAATGACTGTAAAAAATATGGATGACGCGACAGCCCCTTTTCCCATTGAACGCCTTGAGGGCAAAATGCCTGCTTGACGGGCACAAACTGTCGCAAAAGACTGCTGAAATTGGAGCCAGACATGCGCAGAAGGACTGTCTGATGGAACCAGAGGACGAACTTCCAATCAAACGCTTTATGTAAAATCAACCACGCCCCCCGAACTGCTCAGCATGCGTTTGCTGTCATATCAACACAAATGGATGTAATAACGTTAACAAATATGAGGGGTTTATATATTCAATTGCGCCAGCTCCGGGCCGCAGCGCATAACCTACTTGCGGCGTTGCGGGCTGATTCCGGCTCGCATGCGGCAGCGCCGGCTCGCTCGGCCGCCGCATCTGGCTCGATTGACTCGGGCTGGAATCAGGCAGTGAGTCCAGGCATCTGGAGTAGGTCCAGCAGAGGTAGTCAGTCTGAGCTCTGAGGGGTAAGTCTCCGGCAGGCGAGAATCTAGCCGGAACTGGCCCGAGTGTATTTTGCTATCTGGGTGGCTAGGCGTGTATCAGCAAACTAATAAAGCCCGAAAAAAAGCCCTGACCTTAGCGAATAAACAGTGTTCCACCAGGATCATGTATGTCAGAAACTGTAGTTTACTGCTGAATTCATGTTGTCATAATAACACAGAAATCGAATAATAACACTTCAGTCTCCTGCCGACGCTCAGACGCGCTGCTTTGAGAAACTGTCAATCACAGCTGTCAATCACGATGACACGCCCAGCATTAAATTACTGCTAAAAACAAACTGTTTTCACAAATGAAGATCTGCACCTATTTCAGCACAATAACCAGTGCCTTAATCGACCAGAGCCATCTTTCGGGACATTTTATTGCAAGTGTAATTAATTTTTTTATTTGGGCTCAAGTCTCCTTCATTAACACGGAGGAGGCGGGCTTTATGACTTGTACTGCAGCCAGCCCCCAGGGGGCGATCTAACGACCGAGACCTTCACTCAAACACAGGCTTGCGGCACACCTGGTGCTAATACACAAAACAAACAAAGAGACAATAAACACAGACAGGAGCGACAGGGCTGTAAGGGCTGGATCCTGACAGAGTGGGCTTCACAGGGTCAAGCCTTCAAGCTGAATATTAGTATTATGCAAACTAACTAGTAAAATATGATGCATTTATGTTTAAAAATGCCTCTCTGTTAAACAGCACAGGAGAAATATAAAATAATAATAATACTAATTCACAGAAATCGAATAATTCTCTTTAACAGTTTATCTGAATCAATTTCTTTTCTTTGCACGGCACATACTCTGATCAGGAAAGCATCCCTTATTGTAAACACCAGTCGTTTCTCCATTTGGAATATCATCCCAGAGCTGCCTGTAGTATAATGACCAGCACATGTGAATGATGCACTAAGATCCCTGCTCTGTCCTGTTGTTTGTGATGTGATATGCTAACAGTGCACTTCTAGGCTGCGGCGAGGCTGTCGGAGGGGTCCGGACGTTCATCATCAGGACCAGGACTGCTCTAAAGCCATGCTAATTACAGATGAAGTGTTTATTGTGTGATCTGCACCGTGTCCATCACATGTATTTCTCTCCCATTCCTGCAGATCGAGGTAGTGAACACCTTCAAGAGCGGGACGGCCTTTCAGGGGGCTCTGAGGCGCCAGTCCTCCACCACCAGTCAGAATCAGGATGTAACCAATGTTTCTAGTCCTAGTCACGTGTCCTTGTGCAATGCTCTTTCCTCTCCTACCAGCACTGCTGCTCCCTCTGGGCGTGAGTGACACTCTTCTTCGGGTGTTTGTCAGGGATGCCTTTGGACTATTTTGAACTATTCCAAACCAGTTGCATCGTCAAATGATTTACTGTTTCCAATCTAGACAAAGCCAACAATATCACATTAAATTGAAAGTATAAACCATTTCAATGGGGTGATGTCATTGGCCCATGAACATTTCCTGCTTGATGTCAAACTATAGCTGCGTCCCAAATGGCACACTATACACTATGCACTCATGCACTATGTACTTATGCACTTACATATACAGGGTAGTATATGTATGTAGTGTCGTCCCAAATGGCACACTAATGTTTTTAACCAAGCGGAAATTCAAACCGTTTCCCTGATGATGTTTGACGGTTGCCAAATTAGTGTAATAAACGACCAAATTATCAAATAATACCTGCCGCGAGTATAACCGCATTCACCATTGGGGGGCGCTATAATCACTCTCATTGGAAAATTTAGCTTTCACCATCTAAAATAAATAAAGTTATCCAACATGTGCGCCTGATAGCTCCGCCCCTTCCGCTACGTAAGCAAACCTGCGGTCGTTGAGTGTGTGAAGTGTCCATCATTACACACTTCACTTTAGCGGCTGAATGAGTGCATCATCCGGGTAATTAAAGTGCACTTATTATTCTTAGAGTTTTCAGTGTGAACACACTACTTACACTATTTATACTACAAAATGCCGTAGAATAGTGCATAAGTATGCGATTTGGGACGCAGCTTATTTCATATCTGTGACAAGAGGCGGTTCAATCATGACTTGATGTTATAACAGCTATCGTAACGTTATTTAGCAATATTTGGTACTTTTTGAAGCGATGGAAATTTAAAAAGTAAAACAGGAAATACTTCAGGACCATTGTTGATGTTTACATCCCTCAAAAT